AGCTGCCAACCGGACCACAGCTTACTGAGCGCGACAGCAGGAGGGAAATAACATCAGCGTTGCTATTATAAATATGACATCTCCTGACCTAAAGAAATCAGTTTCAAACTTTTTTCAAATTGGACATTAAGTTTAAGAAACCATGCTCCACTGATTTCACCATGTTATCACTCATAAAGCTGCTTTTACTATAGGCTAAATCCTTTGGTGTCTGTGCTCTGAGTTCTGCTCAATCAAATATCTTCATTCTTCAATTTTCTCATACTGTATCTGCCAACCATTACTGTAAATAACCTTAACTGTAATGAACAGAAGTGGTTGAATAGCTGGCGGTAAAAATTTATAATTGTTTTTTGTCAAATCCTCAACACGCTCAAGTATGTATGTTTAACTGGCGATCTACAATATTTGAAATTGGCATTTTGTTTTAATGACTACATGGTAAAATAGAATTAAGTACATTCTATTTTAGCACAATGTATTATTAAAAAATACCTAACCTATTCATAGTTATTCTCTTTCTTACTTATCAAAAAAGAACAACAGATTCTACCTTTATTATGGGCTTCAAAAATCAACTTAAAGCCGCTGGCCTCGTTACTTGAATCAGTTACAAAGTGAATATGGAGGTGGTTGTCTGTAGTTTGGAGGATGGAAGGAGGACTGGAACCACAGATACGACCTCCTAGAATTGGAGACGACCCATCTGGACCATTTCTGAGCTGTAGAAACAACAACAGGGAGTAAATATATATCTGTGACCTCAGTGAGAGCTCTTAGAGCTCAGAAATAAAGTAATTAATTAGGTAAGGAAGTAAAGAAGAAGACATAGCCTACTATCTTAGCTAACTTTCTAAAACACTGAATTTTGGGTTTTCATTGTCCGTTAGCCATCATCATTAAAGCTTTGAAATGTTTTGCTATCTGAGTAAGCAATCTATTACACAGGTGCTGGTCATAAAATTGGAATATCATGAAAAAGGTTGATTTATGTCAGTAATTCCATTCAAAAAGTGAAACCTGTATATTATATTAATCCAGTGGTGCCCAAAGTCGGCACTTTGGCACTAAAACATCCTGGATGTTTTAGTTCCATCCCTGGAGAACATTGACCTCCTCAGCAGGTCAGTATTTTCCTTAGACCAGTGGTTCTTAACCTGGGTTCGATCGAACCCCAGAGGTTCGATGAGTCGGTCTCAGGGGTTCGGCAGAGCTTCTGCCGCGGAGGTAAAGAGACACTTGTGTAAAGTCGTGATGACGCCCCGCTTTGCCATCACTTGCTGCAGAGGATCACGTTACATTGCTGAGCCAATCAGAGCTGTGGAGGAACACTGATTGAAGGAGCTCCACTCTCAACATGGATTTGAACTTGTGAAAAATATGAACATGAAAAGTATGAGCACGTACAATAATCAGTACTTAGTTAGGGTTCCTTTTGTCCAGATTACTGCAGCAAAGCAGCGCGACATGAATCTGATCAGTCTGTGGCCCTGTTCAGGTGTTAGGAGAGTCCAGGTGGCCTTCAGCTCTTCTGAATTGTTGGGTCTGGTGTATTGTGTCTTTCTCTTCACAATGCCTCAGAGATTTTCTATGGAGTTAAGGTTGGGTGAGTTTGTTGGCCAATTAAGATTCACAAAGCCACAGTGGTGGTACTTAAGTGCATTTTACTTAAGCAGATTTAATCATGTGTACTTTCAACTTTTACTCCACTACATTTTTCAACAAGTATCTGTACTTTCTACTTCTACTTCAGATTGGGGGCAGGATCTTGTGTGCTTGACCTCACGATGTAAAACGTCTTCAAAGTGTAGCCCCCCCTCTTCTGAAAGCTAAACTCTGGGCCTGGCAAATTTAAAAAAAAATTCAGAAAGGTGGGTGGAGCCAAGAGAAACGCCAAATGTGGGAATGAGCTGAGGTGGGGTTGTGATCACGATGAAAGAAGCGCTGTTGTCAACGTTTTGACCTGGCCACTATATTTATTAATTTTTCAGACTCCTCTAGTGATTGATAAATCTAGCAACTTTTCCTGTGTTGTTGAAGACTTTTATGGTGACAGCGTTCTGCCTGTCTGTCCCAAGCGAGCAGCGAGAAGCGGCCATTAGACTTTCTCGATTCCTCAGCACTGCAGTCATTTTTTCAACACCATATCTTCACCAATGGTCAGAGCAGAGAAGACGAATTCCACTCCATATCCAACCCATAACACGTTTATTTATTTGTAATAAATGTGTTATTTATAATAAACACATAACACATTTGTAAAGCTGAGTAACGCTTTACAAATGCTGACAACTGCTGACTCACCACTGAGTGAGCGGGGGCAGAAAGAGCAGCTGGTGTTCCCAGCTGTGTCCAGTTCCCTGATTACCTTCCCTGTGTATTTAACCTCACCTGTTGTCTCTGTCCTTCGTTGGATCCTCATCGTGTTACGACGTATGTCACCGTGTTGTTAGTCTGCTCTCTGGTTTCTGTTCTTGGATTAATCATTAAATCATCACTTATATCATGTCTACCTGGGCCTGCCAGCGTCTTCCTCACCATTCACAACCACAAATCATGACAGGCTGTTATGTGCTTCGGGCACATTCTAATTATTTTTGTCTATTTTTCTAGATTGTTTTGTTTATAGACTGTAGTTGAAGGACTTTCTGTTTTTTCTTAATATTTTGGAGTTTGGATAACTTCTTATTTTTGGTAATTAATTTGATTACGTTCAGTGGTGGCTGTTGGTCCACTTATAAATAGGCTGGGTCTGGACATATGTGAGACCCGCCCTTCCGCTCGCTCCACCACCACTGGGGATGTCCTGACTCCTGACTCAGTGTGAACACGTCTCCAGTGGCTGTAGGCCGCAGCTGACATTTCCAATCTGCCATGCAGTAGTTCTGTTAGCCTTTGTTTGTTTGCTTTTTCGTTGTGATTTTAGCCTGGTGGGACCAGTTGTCCTGCTTTCGATCTTTCTTTTGCAGTAGATTCTTTTAGTCCAGTACTACTATGTGCTTTGACAGTCCTGTGTAGGGTCGGCCCCCTGCTGCACTGTTTTGTTCTTTTTGATCGGCTCACCAGGTCCAACTTTCTGTTAACACTTTTGGGGTTTTGTTTTTCTCTTTTTTTGGGACACGGAGGACTGAAGGTATTTAACTCTCTCTTTTTTCTTCACAGAAAATCAAAGCAGATGAACCAAAAGAAAAGCTTAAGAGAGTTTTAAAATAAAATAATTTTTGAACCCTCACTCTTGCCTCCGTGTCCTCAAATATGCTGTGCCCTTTTTGGATGTAACAATGGCCCTGCATTTACTTGGCACCAGATCAATATCAAAATGACTAGAATCACCCTCCTCTAGCAGGAAGGCAGCTTTTGTACTCAAAGTGAGGAAGTTGTACCAAGCTGTACCGCTGCAACCAATAGCAAAATTAAACTGCCCAAAAACTGTTTGACCAGAGAGGCCAGCAGTGAAATGGATTTAAGCAAAGTAATGCAGAACTAAAAGAACTGCACCAAAATGTCAAATTCACATAGAAACATTAAGTTACAACCCTAATTCACCTGTTTAGTTTACCATCATGAAAAAATTTGATTTGGGGCTGAATTTCACTTTAAGTTTACCTGGAGGTAGTCTCCTGAGCTACAGTCAGTGCCGTAGCCCTGAATCTGGAAGGGATTTTGGAATAACACTGAAACCCGAAATCCTGGTGTAACCATCACATGCCAACTGCAATTTAATCCAGGCAAGTAGTTCTGAGGGTAGTGAGGACTGCTCAGAACACCTCTGTCTGCATGCAGCAGGCCACCACAACCTGAACACACAAAGAACATCTTCATTAAAATGGATATCCTGCTGCAGAGTCACAGCAACATTGTTGACTAAAAATGTGAGACACACAAATCTCATGACATATGCTAATGCTATGAACATTAAAAATGGGCAAAATACTGAACGCAACATGTGGTGAAGAAAATGATGTCTGTCCTCAGAGTTCCACCGATTAATCAGCACCTCCTAAATGTTACTGGAAACATCCAGTCAAAACACAAACATGAAGAGCAGTGGAAGCTTCTTTTGATTCACCAGTTTTAACACCTCAGCCACAATTAGATATGAATTGAACATGAATTTACATTAAAATACAAATATTTAAACAGTGAAAAAAAATCTAAATATTTTATCTTATGCTTGACATGAAAAAATAAATACACTAAAAAGGCAGCCCAACATTCTGTTGTCTCAACACAATAAAGAACAAAGAAAAATGTAATATACAAAAATGTAAAGTCAGAATAAAGAAAATATGTATTTGTTATTGTGCAGAACCTTTGGAGAAGGAGGCATTAAAGCCTTGGCCACTGACATGGCTGTCAGACGAGAAGTGAAGGAACATTGAGTCTCCTGTTGAGTGTATGGAGCCTGGAGGTTCCCTACCACACACAGTGGCCAGCACAGGGGACAGGCTGTTCGCACCTGTTAATCATAAAGCAAAACAGTTCATTACAAACTGATGGGTCTGATGTAATCAAACAGAGGGAGATACATAACCAAAGAAGGCTTAGGTAATGCACCAGACTTCAAAAACAAATTCATCTTTGTTTCACTCAGGCGTTTGCAAACTTTCCAATCTAATAAGGATTCTTACCCTCAGTCAGAGGGCCCTGTGGCGTGGGAGGTCAGACTGCTCCAGGAGCTACGATACAGTTGATTGTCACCATCAACGTGTGTGTGTGTGTGTGTGTGTGTGTGTGTGTGTGTGTGTGTGTGTGTGTGTGTGTGTGTGTGTGTGTGTGAATGACTGAGTGACTGTAGTGTATGAAGCTTGTTGTTATTTTCAAAGAGACAACATTTTATTTATATCCTTTGGTTTTCATATAAAATAAAAACTAACATATGACATTTTGAAAACAAAGATGGATACAGCGATTTCTATGGAATGTATACATTTATTTATTTTTTTAATCAACTGGCCAGTTACAAATAACCATTGTGTGAGTTCAGCCAGCTCCAGACCCCTGATTTAACTAATGTTAAAAATGTTGGAATCTGTTTGCATGTATTGAATTTGAATCATTTATATGTTAAAACTGCAGAACTAACAAATGGTGTACAGTGTGGAACCTCTGAAAACTGTCAGGACTCTGGGTTTTGGATTGGAGATTTGTTTTTTGGGTGTTTCTTCTTCATTTTAGTCTTTCCTTTCAGGGTTATAGTTTCATTATTTGAGGTAACTTATTTTGGTTAGATTTGTATTATTCTTATTTTCCTTATTTTGATCCATCATAGTGTTTCTAGTTATGTTTATTTCTTGGTTATTTCATTATCTGAGGTTCAGTTGTTCCTATTTGCCTGAATGATGTCTATCTTTCTTTAGTGATTCTAGTTAGTTTATTTCTTTGTTTAGTCCTTCGTGGTGCTCTAGCTCTGTGTATCTTAGTTCTTATTATTTTTAGATCAGTCTGTTTTGGTTCTTTCATAGTTTCCCCTCATATCTTTGTCTCTTTCTAGTTTGTCATATTTTTTTTTAATTACTGTTAGAATTATCTCCAACTCCCTTATGTTACTTCCCTCACGCTTTTGTGTTCCCCTGTATATTTATATAGTTTCCCTGCCCCTCAGCCTGGCTCCTGCTCACCATTCTCACCTTCAATCAATTAGCTCACCAGCCTAGCTTTTATCTAGCTCTCTACCTACAGGTATTTAAGCCTCTCATTCTCTCCCACTACTCGTCAGATCCTCATGTCTTGTCTTCTCAGTCCTCTGTGCGTCCCTGTTTCTACCCCTTGTTTCCTTGCTGGATGTTCTTTGGGGTCATTTTTTGCTGCTACCTTGTATCTTCTATTTTTTTTGTAAGTGTTCAGCATTTTTTCATTAAATCATCTAACTCAGTTGCTGCCTCCACCTCTCTGCATTTGTGTCCACACTTCAACAATAATGTTGACCAACATCTGCTCTGTTCCTCCGTCAGCTCATCCTGCTCTCTCTCATCCTTATTAATAACTTTGCCTGTGAGTTATTTTTAAAGTCACAGTTTTTAGAGTTATTTTTATACTATTGACATCATAACTGGATTATTTCAAAGCTAAGGACAGGGAGATTTTCACACTTTTATTTTTACCTTACTTTTCTTCACCTCTAAGTTGAACCAGGGCAAAACGCCTCCGGCTGACCTCAGGGACATTTGCAGTATTATACAACGACTTCAGTCTATGGAAATGAAGATTAAACGGCTGGAGGTGAACTTTGAGATCAACGCTACCTGTGGAAATGAAACAACTCTTCTTCAAATCAACGGAGAGGTTGTACGCCCCGCACCAAGCAGCTCACCCTGGAATACTCAGGGTGCCAAGCTGAAACAAAAGTCTCACACTGTGGATCCCATGAGATTACTAACAGGGAGAACCCCTCACCTGGACGAATCAGCGTGGCCGGCTCTGAGCCGAAACCCACCTTCAACTTCAACACTTGCTCCGCCAAAGAATAGCAAACAAGCAGCTGGAACCAAAACGGCCCCACCGACCCAGCTCCCAAGGACAATGCGACCAGCCCAAGCCTCAAAACATTCCGACTCCGTGGGAATCCCACTGAAAAACAGATTTTCTGCACTCCAGTCTGAGCCTCTGAGTGAAAACCCACCTTCAAACATCAACAATGAGGCAAAACCATCACATCCACCCCACACTTTGTCTCCGAAGGACAAAGTGACCACCAGGAAAACGAAAGATATGCCAAG